TAAATTTAATTAAAAAATTATTTATTTATTTTTCTGTTTCACTTATTTTATAATGTTATTCTATGCACTTTCAAATTAAATAATTATTTTTTATATGTTTCTGAATTTTTACCTTTATAATTTATTTATTAATTTTGAAGAAATTTAGATCATTTATGATTTATTTAAATTTACTTATTTATATCTACATTTCCAGTTGCTGCCATATACATAACTAACATACATACACATATTTAAAATTCCGAATATAACGGAACTTGAAACTGAATTAGTGCCTGCAACTAAGCAATTCATTATGCAGTTAGTCGCAGCTGCCTCGTAATTGTGTTAAAACTTTCAGCCAACATTGTCAGCTTCTTGGCGCTGAATGCAAACGTGCAACAAATCGTGGAAATAGTGAAACGAAAAAGGCGAAAAATGTTAGCGATTTGCTGGCAAAATGTTAATGTACCAGAGGCTAGAGAGAGAGAGAGAGAGAGAGGGAGATATAGAAAAAGATAGCCGAAAGATGACCGAGGGAGTTGGCGGCGGTAATAAATAGTCATATCGATGGCCGGAGCTGGGCTGGGCGAGCAGACGGCAAATCTCTTATGGCAAACGCTGTTAATATGGCTTTTAGTTGTTCTGCTGACTGAGGCTGAGGCTGAGACTGGGGCAAACATCTGCGGCATGTGCTTAAGTTAATTATTATCAATTAATAGCTAATCACGATAAATGTGCATGAAAACGGGGCCAGCAGCAACAACAACAACAGCAACAACAACAGCAACTGGAATGGCGCAGCTAAGCGGGCCAGGAGTGGGCGGAGTCGGCGTGGTGTGAGTGTGGGCCTTGTTTATGCTGGAATGGCTGGCACGCAACAAATGGCCCTGACAGCAGTAAGACATGCTGCCTCGCCAGCACATCCTGTTGATTTGTCACACGCGGCGTATGAACAATGCCGTGGCTGGTAATTAAAAATACGCATACGCACCGCGCGCCAGTTGTCAAGATATATGAGAGATATATGGCAGTCGCGCAGCGCACAGCGCACAGCGCACGGCCCACTGAAATAGAGTGAAAACAATGCCAGAGCCAACAAAACATACTACACAATGGATAGACAGAAGCTCGAGCGTGTAACAAGTGATTGGGTTCCTCTCACGCCCCAGCCTTACGTATGCCGTGTCTGTGTGTGTGTGTGTGACAGTCTGCGTGTGCGTGTGTGTGTGTGTGCGTGTCTGACAGTGTCAGATTGTATGTTGGTGAGCGCGTCTGCCTGCCAGCGATATTGTCGCACACCCACAGCACAAAATACTCCAGTGCGACTTAACTCCAATGCTCCCCATGCCAGTCGACATTGTTCTCCGCAGCATCGAACCATCGCTTTGCCATGTTCCCGTTTCTATTTCCACTTCCTCAACCACTCCGCCTCCACTTCCATTTCCACTTCCACTTCCACTCAGTCAGTCAGACAGGTAGTTAAACTTAGCCAGCAGCTTAATTGCATTTGCTCTGAACTATAATTTCGTTTAACTATAGCATTGAGCTGAGAATGCTTCGAGCTCTGATTGATTTGCCAAGCTACAGCTGGAAGTGTTTCAATATAGCTAAAGACAAGCTGGAGCATTGCTGGGTAGAAATTGAAGGACAAATGATCCTACATGAGCTGCTCAGGGCTCAGGTCGGTGCTTGTCGGGTATATTCTAGTCGGGTATATCCTAGTCGGATGTACTACTATCTTCTGCTAGTTTTATTATATATATATATGCTGATCGGGTATATTCTCGTCGGGTGTACCCTAGTCAGGTTTATCCAAGTTAGGGTATATCCTAGTCTCGTATATCCCAGTCGGGTATATCTTAATCGGCTATATGCTAGTCGGGTATATCCAAGTCAGGGTATATCCATGTCGGGTATTTCCTAGTCGGGTATGTTCTAGTCGATTACATCCTAATCGGGCATATGCTAGTCGGGTATATCAATGTCGGGCATATCCATGTCGGATATTTCCTAGTCGGGTTTGATTCTAGTCGATTATATCCTAATCGGGCATATGCTAGTCGGGTATATGCTAATCGGGTATATCCATGTCGGGCATATCCATGTTGGGTATATCCTAGTCGGGTATATCCTGGTCTGGTGTATACTTTCTGGTCTGGTATATCGTATATATCGGGTATATCCTATTCGGGTATATGCTAGTCGGGTATATCCAAGTCAGGGTATATCCATGTCGGGTATTTTCTAGTCTAGTGTATCCTTTCCGGGTATATCCTAGTCTGGTATATCGTATCGTATATATCGGGTATATTCTAGTCGCTTATATCTTAATCGGCTATATGCTAGTCGGGATATCCTCGTCGGGTATTTCCCAGTCGGGTATATCCTAGTCGGGTGTATCCTTTCCGGGTATATCTTAGTCTAGTATGTCGTATATATCGGGTATATCCTATTTAGGTATATGCTAGTCGGGTATATCCTAGTCTGGTGTATTCTTTCCGGGTATATCCTAGTTTGGTATATCCTTTCCGGGTATATCCTAGTTTGGTATATCGTATCGTATACATCGGGTATATTCTAGTCGATTATATCCTGATCTGCTATATCCCAGTCAGGTATATGCTAGTATGTTCTATCCTAGTCGAGCATACCCTATCATACGCTATTAACATTATTATTATTTTTTTCTTAAACCCAGCAAGCATTTGGGCTGCTCATCAGTTCATCAGTTTTTTGTGTGTTGAGTAATTACAATTCTTAATTTCTTACAATTTCAATAAATTTTCTTTGAAAATCCACAATAAGCTAATGCTCCGCCAGCGTTAATCCAGTTCGCAACAAACAGGAACGTATTAAGAGCCGCTGAAAGCATAGCCAAGCCAAGCCAAGTCAAGAGCAGCAGGAGCAGGAGCAGCCACAACAACAACAACAACAACAACATCAGCAACAAGCAGGAAACCCGAATCAGACCGTCTAATCATTGAGGCATATAGGAAAATGGCCAACATGTCGGTGTTACGGATCAAGCGAGAGCTTGGCGAGGTTATGCGAGGCGACGAGATCGTACAGGGCATGATCAAGATCGAACTGCTCAATGACAATTGGACGGACCTGCGCGGCGAGATAATGGGACCGAAGGACACGCCCTACGAGGGCGGCAAGTTTGCCCTGGAGATCAAGGTGCCGGAGACGTATCCGTTCAGTCCGCCCAAGGTGCGCTTCACCACGCGCATCTGGCATCCGAACATTTCGATCGCCACCGGCACCATCTGCCGGGACATACTGAAGGACAATTGGGCAGCGGCGATGACCCTGCGGACGGTGCTGCTCTCGCTGCAGGCCCTGCTGTCCGCCGCCCAGCCGGACGATCCGCAGGACGCGTGCATCGCCTACCAGTACAAGGCCAAGCACGATATGTTCCAGCTAACGGCCAAGCACTGGACGAACGTCTATGCGGGCGGGCCGCACGCCTCTACCGAGTGCAACACGAAGGTGCAATACCTCAAGGAAATGGGCATAGATGAGCACGAGGCACGGACCATGCTCTCCAAGGAGAACTGGAATCTGGAGGGCGCCACGGAGCGGCTATTTCACTGAGACCCATTCAGGCAACTTAAATTCGAGCTGTAGCTGTCCAAGCTGTTTGGACAAGCCATATAAATTCTAGCCCACCAATCACCAATCAATCAATCAACCCCATCAATCAATCAGTCAGGCAATTCTACATCAGCGGAGTTCCCAAATTCCGGTTTGATTGCAGGAAGAGCCCAACTCCATTTCTAAATAACGCATAGGTTTCAATGAGTTTTGTAAATTTTTATCCTTTTATACTTTTCCAAATCCCATTCTTGTGTAATAGAAATAATTATAGTATGTCATAGTGATTGTATGTATATGTATGTGTATTATTATTTGCAGGCGCCGGGTGAGATGACAACTGTAAATGAGACTTGCATTAGCTTGAGGCACACTTCAAGCTCATTTAGAGCTCAGAGCAAAGTTTTCTTTAAGCTCACTTTGAGCTGCCTTGAAAGACACTTAAAGCTCAATTGAAGCTAGTATTGAGATTAAAGCTCACTTAAAGCCAAGGCTGGCACAACCCTTAGAGCTTGTAGCTTTACTTCAAGCTCACTTAAAGCTTGCTACAATGTAGCTTGCAGCTTACCTCCCACTTGAAACTTTTTTCCAGCCAAGCTTTACTTAAAGCCTACTTAAAGTGAGTTTAACGCTCTGAAAGCGCACTAAAGTCTACTCTTGAAACGTCCTATAAGCTAACATAGCTCGCTAAAAGTTTACTTAACATTTTGCATATGAACCATAATTTAGAGATATCTTATTTTACATTTAGCGAAATATCTTTCAACTGAGACTTGCTTAAAGCTAAATTTAGGATTAAAGCTCACATAAAGCTAGCTCGTAATTCTTAACTTGCTTTCCTTTGCATACTACTGTTTCTTCAGGTGAATTCATATCATCCCGTTTTTATTTATTCTAGTAATATCATAATGAAGTTGACTTAAAGCCTAGTTAAAACTACATAAAAGCTAAACGATTGTTTTTTCGACTTCATTTAGCTTTTATCTTCTATGAAATCTACAGAATCACTAGCTTGATTAAAGCTGACAAATAATCTTTGATTTGATGAGTAATGCAGCAGTGCGAGTTATGCAAACTTGTTGCTCCCTCAAAGCGCACTTAAAGCTCTGGCTTAAAACTTAAAGCTTACGCTGAAAGCTGAATTTGAATGCAGGCTTTAAAGTTTACTCCAAGCTTACTTGGAGCTCGGCTCTGCATTGAGTAACTCTATCAAACAAACAATATTCAGCGCTTTTTAAGCCCCACCAATCAGCTCCATAAATTTATATAAATTTTTCGTATGCTGACAACTTTGACAGTTCTCCAGAAATGATGTCTACAATAATTGCTCGAATGAAGTGAATGAAGTGAATGAAATATAAATCAAATAGCTAAATGAGCTTCGCTTTGAGCACAACTTTCGCTAGTTGAAACATTTAATTTACTAATTGAGAATGTGCTATCTCCTGGTACCCAGTGCCAGGGCGACTGCTTGATTGCATTGACTGTGCAGTCGATGGCTTGAAGACTGTGGCAAATGTTCTATTTTCTTAGCAGATGCGAGTCCTGGGAGTCGTGGGAGTCGCTGCTCCTGCTGCAGCTGGGCCTGGCTGAAACTGAGAGCTGTGGGGCTTCATGGCTGCGGGGCTGCGGGGCAGCGGGGCAGCGGGGACCTTGGGCACTGTTGAAAGGAAAACCTGAAAACAATCGCCCTCATTCGCTTCGTTCCGTCAATAAACGACATTTTATTATTTTCTCGACTGTTTGCTGCGCGTTCGGTCTCTGCTTTTGCTTTGCTCAGTCAATGCCCAGTTCCGTCCGCAGTCTCGCTGCTCCTGCTGCCAGTCGTCCCACATCATTTCATTTTTTTTTCTTCTTCTTTTTTCTTTAGCTTCTTCTTCTTTCTTTCTTTTCTTTTTTTTTATCGTTTCACTTACAAAGCGTCGCGCACTTTACGCTGATTGCGCGCTCTCGCAAACATTTTGCTTGCTTTTTGGCCCCCAGACGGGGCACCCGGATCGGTTTGGCTCGTATCTGTGTCCGGGCACGGTCCCAGGTCCGGCCCCGACTCTGGATCCGGGTCGGCGGGGGTGTCGGCTACTGAACTGCCCTTTGTTTTCAGCCCATGCACGGACGGACGGACGGACGGACGCACGGACACAGAGCTGTTGGCTGTGACTATAACTGGATACGATTCGATAGCATTGGGTTTATTGTTACTTCCTTTTGCAATTATCCTTGTTAGTCAGTGCGGCCGTCAGCGCACTCGAATGCCCCAAACTTGCAGCCCAGCGCAACTATCGTCATTATCACCAGCTCCATATCATCATCATCATCATCATCATCATCTATAGCAGCAGCAGCAGCAGCAGCGGCATCGCCTGTTGTTACTTTTCTTTTATCTCCGCTGCTTCTCTTTGTCCTCCTTTTGCTCAAAATTAGTTAACGGCAAATATCCTGCAGTCCCGCGCCTCAATGACAATGGCTGCTCCATTACTCAGCCCTCGCACACGCACACGCCCCCAATCCCACCCGGCCACGCCCATATGCAGCGTGCACTATTTGCATTATTATCGAGATTTACGACTGTGAATAAAGCACTCGCAATTAATTATGAATTCGTGCCTATCGATATATTTAATGGAAACCAAAAGCAAATACAATCGCACCACTTGCGAAATTTAAGACCTTACTGAGGGGGAGAGATGACTGTATAATGAAAGATGTATATAAAGATGTATGTATGTATATATGCAAATAAACATTGAAAAAGGAAAACGAATCTTATATAATATATTACTATATATTATATTAT